GGTTCTTTGTGCGCAACAGGTGTGGGTGGAGGGTGCCATGGGGTCTTGGGTGCTGTGTGTGGCAGAGGAACCCGCACGGGGTGAGCTGGGCAGGTCGGGGCAGTGGGAGGTGTGGGGGCCCTCCGTGTGTGGCACTGGGGTCACTGAGACCTTCCCTCGTTTCTGTGCCTTAGAAGAAGGCAGAGGGTACAGCAGGACATTACAGCCTGGAGGTGAAAACCCCACAGCCATCCCTCCGAAACGAGTGGGGTAGGACCATGTCTCACTTAGAGTGCAGTGCCCTAAAGGGCACCTTCTGCTTTTGCAGGAGGGCATGGTGCAGGGAGAGAGGTTGGGAGTGCAGAGGTGGGGGAAAGGATCTCTACTTGGGGTTGTGCATTTGTCAGTGTGAGAAGGGAAGCTTCAGGGAAGGGAAGTTTTCATACGGTTGACCGTATGAAAAAACGGTCAAAAAAGGTAGCAGGCAATGAGTTCTTCTGTAATTCTTCCAGCAATCCTGATGTTAACTGTTTCGCCATTGGATCATTGTACCACTAAGAAGCAGATAATGCGATTTGGGGTTCAAGTTTTTTATTTTTTAATTAGGTCGTAAGGTACAGTTGAAGTATTTATCCCCAAAAGCAAATCGTTTGTGTTCCCATCTAGTGAAAAATGGTGTGACGGATTTTTAAGTGAGTGGTAGGGTGGAACAGTAGCGTATTTTGGTGACAGGACTAGCAGAAAAGGTCACCAGGGTTATTTCTTTCACATAAGAGGCATAAAGGTTGCTACTTTTCAGATTTACTGAAGCCACAGAAGCTGGCTGTACAGTCTGAAAATACTCTGCTGCCTACTGAAATAAGTAAGAATTTTCAATAAAAATACTGCACAATTGTGCAAGGCCTTTCCTTCCTCTGGCTTCCTTTGCCTGGAGAAGGCAGGAGCTTTGCCTCTGGCTCCTGAAGGATGTTATTTTTAAAAAATGAGGTTGAAATCTGTCTCTGCCCTCTTACGTGCACCTCCCTGGAGAAGGTGGACGCTGTTCCTCAGTAACAAGGTGGCAGTGCTGACATCAGAGTTCATCAAAGAAATATTCCCTATTTTTACTGGTAAAAAGAATCTGCTTTTTTTTTTTTTAATATGCTAAACATTACTCAGTGGCTAAAGGTAAAGCCCATTTCTATAGTTTGTTTTGGATAACTGCTTTTTATTTCATCTCATGCTGACTGAGAATCGTACTGTATAAAAGTTGCCATATTTTGTCTTTTCCCTGTGTTTGTCGTTAAGATAATGATGTCAGAACAGACTTCAGGGACTTACCTCATCAACAGGACCACTAAGATGAGGAAGGAGACGGAAGCCCGGAAAGTGGTCTTGGCCTGGGGACTCCTTCACGTGTCTCTTGCTGGCATGATATACGCTGAAATGTAAGTTAATTGTTCCATCTGATCCAAACAAGCAAAGCGTCTGCTTTGTGTGTCCCTAAATATTCACCGGGACCCAATTGTCACAAAATAATAACTTCTTGTTGTTGTTAACAGGACTGGAAGACTGATAAGCTCGTATTACAACATCACATACTGGCCGCTCTGGTATATCGGTGAGTCGCTGCAGCATTTAAAGTAATTTTCAGGATTCTTTTCTCTTTTCACTTGTCAGTTCTGTTGCCAGGGACGTAATTTTTAAGGTAGCCTTTTTTTTTTTCTATTTTCAATTTAAATCGAAATTTTATTTTGCTGTTATCTCTCTTGAAACTGTTGGAATTTCTTTTTTTTTTTTCAGTGACAGGTAAGAAGTGTTAAGGGCTTTCTTAGATATATCCTGAAAGGGCATGAAGAACTTGTTTGGTGCATTAAATCTGTTTAATGTGTGGACTGAGGCTTTGGAGAATGCTGCAGGTTTTACTGACATGTTGTACTGTGGGTGCAGATTGCATTTCATGATAGTTTAAGTTTGTTTCGGATGAGTTGGCTCTAAGCTAGCTGTACCAAATAGAGGATGAAAAGGAGCAAGGAGAAAAAACTCATGAGTGACAGATGATTTGATGGAAGATCGTGTTTGAGAAATACTGTGACACTTCATTGCAGTAGTTCATGTCCTTTCTGGAAAATAGCCATCTGTTTTTAAAAATTAAATTTCCCCAACATAAATGAATCTCAACACAGCAAGGAAAATGATCTCCAATGGTTCTTGCGTAAGAAGGTGAAGAAATCTCAGATTCTTGCCCAAATTGGTTCTCACTTGTAGCGCTGATAACGACCTGTTTTTAATGGGCGTGTGCCTGTTCTTGCAAATAACATATTTTGATTATTCCCCATGCTCGAGCTATAGTAACAACTCCTGTGTTTCTTCTAGAATTCGCACTTGCGTCCCTGTTCAGCCTGAATGCCCTGTTTGATTTCTGGCTGTACGTCAAGTACACAGTGGCACCAACGACCTTGGTCGTGAGTCCTCGCCAGCAGAGCCTGCTGGGCCTGCGGGATGCAGGTGGGTGAAAAGGACGGGGTGGTAGTGGCTGCTGAAGGAGTCTCACTGGAGATTCAAACATTGGGAGGCTGGACCAGCAACTTGTAACCTGTACATGGGACTAGGAGCAAGGCAGGGAGTGCAGGTTTATATTTAGCATTTATATAGACTTATAATTAATTTTGGTGTCCTACTGATGTCATGCTTGGTAACATTTGGCTGAAATCTGAAGCTGTAGGGTTTGTGCTGCGTTGTGGACGTGTGTTTCAGTCTTCTCTCTCTTCTGTCAATGGCTTGACTGCTGAGTTCTGTGGGGGCCAGATTTTTCTAATGTCCCTTCTTTGAAAGGACGTTGTAGGGAGATGGGGGTCAGTCTCTCCTCTCACATTATGAATGACAGGATGAGAGGGAATGGCCTCAAGTTGCGCCAGGGGAAATTTAGGTTGGATATCAGGAAGAATTTCTTCACAGAGAGGGTTGTGAAGTATTGGAACAGGCTGCCCAGGGAGATGGTGGAGTCCCTATCCCTGGAGGGGTTTCAAAACTGTGTGGATTTGGTGTTGAGGAACATGGTTTAGGGACCCTGACAGTGCAGGGTGAATGGTTGGACTCGATGATCTTGAAGGTCTCTTCCAACCAGACGATTCTATGATTCTAACATCTTTTTAAAATTCCCTTAAGGTAGCGTTGTGTGTGCGTTTCGTTGTGCGTTGAAAGAGGGGAGGAGGGTTTGGGCCTGCTGCATCCACAACGTTAATTCTGTTTTTCCTTATTGCAGCGATACAAACAACTCCACCACGTGAGCTGGCAGCAAAGAAAGTCCCATCTTCGACACCTTCTCCTCTGAACCAGGGTCAGAGTGTGCTGAGCTACAGCCCGTCACGCTCTCTCAGTGCCAGTCCAAACTTTACTACCAGTTGTATCACAGGGTACAGCCCTCAGCTACAGGCTACGTCGAGCAACAGCAGTGCTATGACCTATTCACCAAGTAGCAGCTACAATAAGGTAACGACCAAGACGGCTCCTAAGGGTATGGTTTCCTCCTTGTCTTCTGCCGTGTGCCATCAAAGATGAGCAGCAGCCAGCAGAGAGTTGTATGTATGTGTGTTTGCTCCTTTTGCAAAGTAGATGTAAATTTGCTGTTTTGGGATTTGTCCTTTTTCCCTAGTGTCGCTTCATTTGTTTTAGCGTGGCTGATTTGTTTCAGAACAAAGCAAAAGTAAGAAACCAAAAGGTAAATGCAAAGGAGAAAAAAAGCACCAACCCACACCCCAAACAAGAGTCTTTTACATTCATGTTGTTTGGAAATCAAAGTGGAATTCTGTCTTCCTCGTATGACACAACCATTTGTTTTTCTTCGGCCAAGTTCTCCAGCCTCAGCCCTTCTCCGTGTGGATCACTGTACCCCATGAGCATTGGACCAGTGGAAACCAGTGGGCTCAGATCTCGTTACCGCACATCACCCATTCGGTATAATTCTCCCCCTGGCAAAGACGACTACATGACAGACCTCAAGGCACTGGAGGCCTTCCTTCAAGATGAAGAGGAGAAACAGCGGAGAGTTCAACTTGGTAAAGAAACAAACTGATTTGATTGGAAAAGCTTGGAAAGGAGAAGGTGTGGGTTTTATTCATGGAATCATAGAACGGTTTGGGTTGGAAGGGACCTCAAAGATCAGCCAGTTCCAACCCCCCTGCCATGGGCAGGGACACCCTCCACTACACCAGGTTGCTCAAAGCCTCATCCAACCTGGCCTTGGACACTTCCAGGGATGGGGCAGCCACAGCTTCACTGGGCAACCTGTGCCAGTGCCTCACCACCCTCAGAAGGAAGAATTTCTTCCTTATAACCAATCTAAACGATGATCTCTAAGGTCCCTTCCAGCCTTTGCCATTCTGTGATTCTAAATCTCCCCTCTTTCAGTTTAAAGCCATTGCCCCTTGTCCTGTCACTACACGCCCTTGTCCAAAGCCCCTCTCCAGCTTTCCTGTAGGTACTGGAAGGCTGCGATAAGATCTCCCTGGAGCCTTCTCTTCCCCAGGCTGAACAGCCCCAACTCTCTCAGCCTGTCTCCATAGCAGAGGTGCTACAGCCCTCAGATCATCTCTGTGGCCTCCTCTGGACCCGCTCCAGCAGCTTCATGTCCTTCTTGTGTTGGAGACCCCAGAGCTGAAGACAACACTGCAGGGGGGTCTCAGGAGAGCAGAGCAGAGGGGCAGAATCCCCTCCCTGACCTGCTGCCCACGCTGCTTTGGATGCAGCCCAGGACACGGTTGGCTTTCTGGGCTGCCAGCGCACGGTGCCGGCTCATGTTGAGCTTCTCATCCACCAGCACCCCCAAGTCCTTCTCCTCAGGGCTGCTCTCAATCCATTCTTTGTCCAGCCTGTGCTTGTGCTTGGGATTGCCCCGACCCACATGCAGGACCTTGCACTTGGCCTTGTTGAACTTCCATGAGGTTCTCACAGGCCCACCTCTCCAGCCTGTCCAGGTTCCTCTGGATGGCATCCCTTCCCTCCAGCGTGTCCACAACACCACACAACTTGGTGTCATCAGCAAACTTGCTGAGGGTGCACTCGATCCCACTGTCCATGTCTCCAACAAAGATGTTAAATAGCACTGGTCCCAGTACTGACCCCTGAGGAACACCACTCGTCACTGGCCTCCACTTGGACATTGAACCGTTGGCCACAACTCTTGGAGTGCAATCATCCAGCCAACTCCTTATCCACCGAGTGGTCCATCCATCAAAACCATGTCTGTACAATTTAGAGACAAGGATGTCATGTGGGACCATGTGAAACGCTTTGCACAAGTCCAGGTAGACGACGTCACTTGCTCTTCCCCTATCCGTCAGTGCTGTAACCTCATCGTAGAAGGCCACCAAATTAGGCAGGATTTGCCCTTAGTTGAAGCCATGTTGGTTGTCAGCAATCACCTTCTTATTTTCCATGTGCCTTAGCATAGTTTCTAGGAGGATCTGCTCCATGATCTTGCCGGGCACAGAGGTGAGACTGACTGGCCTGGAGTTCCCTGGATCTTCTTTTTTCCCTTTTTAAAAATGGGGGAGATGTTTCCCCTTTTCCAGTCGGTGGGAACTTCACTGGGCTGCCATAACTTTTCAAATATAATGGATAATGTTTTAGCAACTTCATCTGCCATTTCCCTCAGGACCTGTGGATGCACCTCATCGGGCCCCTCTCATCAAGGCAATAAAGCCCATCGTCTGGTCATGGTCCACTACAGCCAGTAAATGCTACAGAGAGAAACTATCAGCACACGTTTCCTTGTGCTGCACCAGCAGCATATATCCTGTCCAAAGCAATACTTTGGAGGAAAACTTTCTGAAGCTCCTAAGCCACGGAGCTGGTAGAAACGATGGTGTTCTACCTCACATCCTAATTACTCAGTAGAAGACCAAACTGTTCATCAGCCACCTTCACCAGGGTCACAGGTGATGACCAAAAGCGAGTTAAGTCTATTTATGCGTGTGCTGGAATCCTTTGCAACTTTTCTTTTCCGCAAAAGCCAATCTTGAATTGTTCCTGAGAGCAGCCCTGGGGAGAGTGACTTTGTGCTCGTTGACAAGAATCTCAACATGAGCCGGCAATGCGTGCTGGCAGCCCGGAAAGCCCAAACCATTCTCTGATTCTGTATCTTGTGGAGAAGTGTTTCAGACCAAGGGGGTGAATTACCTGCAGGCAGTTTTTGTCCTGGATAGGGACAGTCAAGATAATCAAGGTGAAATCAGTGTTTATGCCTACAGACTTCAGTGTACATGTTCACAGAATCCCAGAATTTCAGGGATTGGAAGGGACCTCAAAGGATCATCCAGTCCAATCCCCCTGCTGGAGCAGGACCACCTAGATCAGATCCCACCAGAATGTGTCCAGGCGGGTTTGGAACATCTCCAGAGAAGGAGACTCCACAACCTCTCTGGGTAGCCTGTTCCAGTGTTCTGTTCCCCTTACTGGGAAGAAGTTCTTCCTCATGTTTAAGCGGAACCTCCCATGTTCCAGCTGAGATCCATTTCCCCTTGTCGTGTCATTGGATGCCAGTGAGAAGAGCCTGGCTCCATCCTCATGACAGTCACCCTTTCCATATTTATAAACATTAATGAGGTCCCCCCTCAGTCTCCTCTTCTCCAAGCTGAAGAGACCAGTATAGCCCAGTACAGCTCCCTCAGCCTTTCCTCGGAAGGGAGATGCTCCACTCCCTTCATCATCCTTGTGGTAATCGTGGTAGCTCATGTTCGTGTCTCTTGTTAAAGCCTTAACACTGACGTATTGTCTGTGCTGGTACTTGGCAATAATTGAGTGACGGTTTAATGATGGGTCGTTTCAGGAAGTTCAGATTCCAGCTCTCCTTCCAGCAGCCCAACTTTTTGGAACTACAGCCGTTCCATGGTAGACTACACCCAGATACTGAGAAAGTTCCAGTATCAGCTGGCTTGCAGGTCCCAGGCTCCATCAGCACACAAGGACGAAGCTGATCTGAGCTCGAAACAGGCTGCAGAAGAGGTAAATTCAGCAGCAAGGTGGTCAAGAGGGAGAAAGAGGCCTCTAAAATACACAGCTTAATTCGTTCAAAAATGTCAGGGAGAGAGAAATCCTCTGGCATTCTACCACCTTCATACAGCTGCACTGTAAATGGGCTTTTCAAATTCTGAATTTTAGTCAAAAAATGGTTTCTCCCATGGAGACCAAGGCGTACTCTGGATAAAATACATTTGTGACATTAAAATTGGCTTGAAACTGATGTGTGTGTTTAGCTCAGTGGAACAACTGAAGGATATAAAGCATGAAGCCTTTATGCCAGCATCTGAACGAAGTCTGATGCAAAGGAATGCAATTCACGTGTCTCAAATTAAATTTGATCCGTTTTCTTTGTTTCCTACATTAACCTAACAAAGTTTTCCATTCAAATACTTCAGTCAGTCCTACAGTTCAGACCAATTTTATCGTAATAGAGCAGAGAGCTTAAAACTGAATTTGGGCTCATGCAAGATGATTGTACCATGAACACTCTAGTGGGAGTGTCCTATGTGACGCTGCTGTAGAAGTCACATGATACAGCCAGCGGATTTATAGGAATTTTGGGGAAAATACCGTTTGAATTATGCACTGTGGTTAGCATCAGAAGTTGTCACAGACCCTAAAAACTCTTGGTGTTCTGTTAAGTTCTTACATGTACTTAATCTTTCCATAGGTGTGGGCGCGGGTGACGATGAACCGACAGCTCCTTGACCACTTGGATTCCTGGACCGCCAAGTTCAGAAACGTAAGTCCCGTTTCCACATACTGCCTGGTTTTTAAGGACGAGCCCAGCCGGGTGGAAAAGCACCTCCATGTCCCCTGTGTGGCTCCGGAGTGGGAGGAACTGCAGTGTCTGTTGAGGAGTGGGGTGAGCTGGCACAAGGAGACAGAACACAACGTGCTTGTGAGAGAGGGGTGCTGGGATGCGTTTCCGACCTGACCTTGGCGTTTTGTGCTGTGAGAACTTCTCAGCTGTAAAGTTCATCCACCTTTGAGTGAGAGACAAAAGCATCTCGGGTACGACGAGATTTGGTTTTCTTTGGTTTTCCCAGATCACTAAATTCATGTTTCTGCACTATTTTAAACTCCTTCTTCTGGGCTCAAAGCATGGAAAATTCCAACCCAAGGGTTGACTTTTTCTGACGGCTCTGAGCAGTGTAATAAAAAGCAAAAAGAAAAACCTTGACCTTATTGATGAGAATTGTTACAGCAGAGGAGACTTGATTGCACACAATGGGAAAATAATTAATAATCTAACTTTTAATTGCCCCTTCAGTCATAGCATCTATCAAGTATGTAGTTTGCTTGTGTGTTTTGGTTTTTTGGGGTTTTTTGAAGTAATAAGATCAATGAAAAGCAAAGATTTGTATGAGATCCATACCAGATTCCTGAGCATCTGTTCCTAAATCCAGAGCCAGCATGCTTCAGTTCCCAAATCCTGACACGTACAAATCCCACACGTAGCTGTTTATCAGCTCCTTGATTTCCTGAAACAAATGTGAGAGGGAGTGGAGCCATCAAAGTATAAATTATCTTTATGGATGGAGGGCTGTGCTTCACAATACCCCTTCTCTCATTGTTCAGAAAAGCTTTATCTCATACTTGCTAGAGATTTGTTTTCCTGACTCCTTTACGTGGGTTTTTCTGGTCTTTTAGGAGGTGTTAAGGAGTCATTTAAACTCTGCCTAACGTGATATTCTAATTTAATTACTCTTCTCCTTGCTCGGCTTTGGTGTTTCTGTTGCTCAGCTTCTTTGTGATTGTGACAGTGATGACGAGTAGGGTGTAAGCTAAGGATTGGCGTTTTTAACATATTTTTGTTGCTTCTGACCTTTTGAGTTTGCACCTTTTTTCTTTCCTAGTGGATTAACGAGACTATCCTAGTGCCACTGGTCCAAGAGATCGAGTCTGTGAGCACCCAGCTGAGAAGAATGGGATGTCCAGAACTGCAGATCGGAGGTAGGGTGAGGCAGTAGCTTTGGGGTTCCCAGTGGTGGTTGATGGAGGGCTGCCCCGTAGCCGGGCTGTTGGATAGGTATTATGGGAATGAGGTCTGTTAAATATTCCTGTTCCATTTCTGCTCGCTATTGCTGTGGTCTTTGTTCCATGTCAGGCATTGTATTAGGCTGGAAGGGTTCTTCATATGGACTTCTGGAAATATTGATGAAGTCACACTGATGCTCGTCTCATTTAAAATTCATAAACCTCTCCTCTTTTTTTTTTTCTTTTTTTTTTTCTTTTTTTTTTCCTCCCTAGACTTACTGCTGGGGAATTACAGGCTCAAATTAACCTTGATTATTGCATATTAAACTGTCAGACAACATTTCAAGGATAGAAGTGCTGTGGACTCTCATTGTCTCCCTGTAAACTCTCAGTGTCTCAAGTCCTATGTGCTTTTCCAAATTCTTCCTTCAAATCAGCTGCATTCTGAAAAAAAAAAAATATTTAAATTCTGGTGAACTGGAGTTCTGTTTTTCGTGTCACGATATGGTTCTGAAGGAACTGCTTCTCTTGTTTCTTAAAATTTATATCCCCTTAACCAAGAAATGGATTTGATAGGCTGCATTTAAATCCACCTTTTGTGAGCTGTTTCTTGTAGTGTCTCTTCAAGAGCTACATCTGTTGCCATGTCTATAGAGAAACTGGTCAGTGCTGGTCTTGTCCCCGCTTCGTTACTTGCCTTCTGCTCTTCAAAGTGGATGGTGGTTCCTTGTAGCTTTTATATTCTGTGATGTAAAAGAGACATCTGCTACCTCCTTGGGAGTGAAGTGAGTGTTTGGGGTAGTGTCACATGTTAAATGTTACAGAATCACAGAATCTCAGAATGTCAGGGATTGGAAGAGACCTCAAAGGATCATCGAGTCCAGTCCCCCTGCCGGATCAGATCCCACCAGAATGTGTCCAGGCGGGTTTGGAACATCTCCAGAGAAGGAGACTCCACAACCTCTCTGGGCAGCCTGTTCCAGTGCGCTGTTCCCCTTACTGGGAAGAAGTTCTTCCTCATGTTTAAGCAGAACCTTAAACATAGAATCATTTGGTTGAAAGAGACCCTCAAGATCATCAAGTCCAACCATTCACCCTGCATTGTCAGGGTCTCTAAACCATGTTCCTCAACACCAAGGGAGTTCTTCAACATGAGGAAGAACTTCTTCACAGTAAGGGTAAATGTTTCCAAGGCTTTAAATGGTGTGCCAAAAAGGAGAGTTCTTTGCAGCCTGGCCTGGTGAGGGAGGCTGTTGGCAGTGCCGGGGTGCCCGTCGCTGACCTGTGCTGGCTCTTTTTGCGTTGCAGAAGCCAGCATCAGCAGTCTGAAGCAGACAGCGTTCGTTAAAGCTCCGCTCATTCCAACCCTGAACACTATCGTGCAGTATCTGGATCTTACACCCAACCAGGAGTATTTGGTCGAACGGATCAAAGGTTCGTGGTGTGACTTTAAAACCCTTCCATTGCCACAGTCAGGGGTTGGTGGCGTCAGACGTTCCTTCAGCGGAGATGTTTGAAGGGTCACAGCGAGGATGGCAGCTGCTTTCAAGCTGGAGAGATGCTTTTTCACAACCTCCTCTTTTTATAGCGATGTAACAATGCGGGACTTGGATGTAACTTTGGGAATGTTTTTAAAAGCCTTATTTCTCATTTTCCTCCTGCATGCTCAAGGTGCAAAGTGCTGGATTTAATCCCTTCGTTAACTACAAATAAAAATCAGCCTGTAAATTTGCCTCATTAATACATTTACAAGTATTTTGTTAGTTGAATTTTTCCTATTCTGTACAGCAGAAACAGGTACGAAGCTGCTGAAACGAGCAGAAAATACCACTTTTGTGCACTTTCAACCTGCAGTAACTGAATCCATCTTGTTACTTTCAGAGCTTTCTCAGGGAGGGTGCATGAGTTCCTTCCAGTGGAACGGAGGAGGGGATTTCAAAGGCCGCAAGTGGGACACCGACTTGCCCACTGACTCCTCTGTAAGTTTTTGAAGACATCCTTACACAATGGCTTAAAGCGAGTTGCCTTTCAGCGTGGGTTTTTGCAGGGGGGTAGCCAGTCAGTCTTTTGAGGAATATGGCAAAATCCTGTTTGAGTCAGTTACACAGATAATCCCGTTGTAGTCGGTGAGGTTCCGTGGGGAATAACGCAGATAGGATCGGACATGGCGTAGATCACAAAAATGCAATTGTATATCTGGGCTCTTACTTAGGCTCCTCTGGAATGTCTGTCTATGAGGAGCAGCCTGATGGGTGAGGGTCTTGTTTGGGCAGTTCTCTTGCTACATTTTTTAAAAAGCCAAATGTCTGCCTTCACCTAACAGCTTCTAATGCAAGGAAAACCTTTCACCCTGTTCGTGTTTTCCTTTGCTATAATGGACAGAGGGGAAAAAAACGCAGGTGGAGTGGCACAATGGCTGTTTAATTCAGTAATTAATGTTTTGTGAGAAATCTGAAGATGTTCCATGTCCTGCTTGAGAGAGAAGGCTTGCAGCGATGCTTAGCCCGATAATCTGAAAGGTCAAGAGGAGCAGCACCCCAGTGAAAACAATGACTTGAAAATCCAACTGGAGTAATTAAAAACATTAAAAGGAAGACCACAGAACAACTCATAATTAAAATCATTAAAAGGAAGACCACAGAACAATTCAGGGAGTAGCAAACAGGCTTTACTGTGTGAGTTCAGTTGGACTCTGTATCTGAAAGTAGAGTTAGGGTGATTTTTTTTGTTTGTTTTTCTCCACTATAAGTAGATTTTCAGTTACTTGGGAGAACAAAAACCAGGAGATCTGAATGTCAGAGCTTCACAACTTTGCTGGCGAAGATATAAGGAGACTCAGTTGCTGGAAGCTGAAGTTGTACAAAATCAGACTTGAAATAGGATTTGATTTTCTGTTTGTGAAGGTGATGAAATATTTGGTAGTGACTTGCCACAGAGCAGCTCTTAGTGGCTTAGTCAGTAGAGTAAACGACTCCAAAGTATTTAAAGATCAGGAGACAGCACACCCTGGAATTCACTCTTTTGATCAAAACCAGCTGAGAGGGGTGGTGTTGGCAGTATATTAAACTTTTAAGAATTCTGGGAAAGAACTTCTGATATCACAAATTAAAATAAACACTTGCCATGCCGTTTTGATGTTAACTTACTCAAGACAATTACTATAAAAAAAAAAAATACACATTTTTGTTAATCACGCTGCAGAAAATACAAAGCTGTGATTCTTCTTGAGACTTTTGGCCTTCAGCACAGAGAAACTCTTGGTTTGTCTGCAGAACAGATCGTGCTCTACAGAATGAACACAGAAAGCGTCAGGTCACAGCTGATTTGGTGACGTTGCCCACATAAAGTGTTGAGAACTCTCCAGGAAGAGTTAAAACACAAGTAGCAGGTTGAGACGTGGTTTTCTGGATAGTTCTAGGACGTTGGATCAAAATTTTGACATTCTTAGCAAGACACGTGACCAGCTCAGGTTTTTCTGGTGATTTTTGGTCTGCCTTTCATGAGGAAAAAGGAGCAATTTGCTCGATTTCAGCTGGCAAAGCTGCTGTCTGATTTCATGTGCCCTTCTGGGCCAAATCCTTGCAGCTGGTCTGGAACCCATCACTGAAACAGGTGGTTTGGAGTCGGTGGCCTAACTGTGCCAATAAAATCTGTGGCTTGGCCAAGTTCTGCAGGATGCCAGGAGAAGGTTGTTCCTGTGGGAACTGAGCTCCTGGCACGCAGCATCAGTTCATCGCGTTGTGACCGACGCCGTTTCACGTAACTGGAAAAAATAAACTTGCCTTTGCCCAAGCAGCATGCCTGGAGCGTGGAAATCTCCGCTCAAAGCGTTCAGCTCCCTCGGGCTCCTAAACATACAATCATAGAATCATGGAATGGTTTGGGTTGGGAGGGACCTCAAAGATCATCCAGTTCCAACCCCCCTGCCATGGGCAGGGACACCCTCCACTACACCAGGTTGCCCAAAGCCCCCTCCAACCTGGCCTTGAACACTGCCAGGGATGGGGCATCTACAACTTCTCTGGGCAACCTGTGCCAGTGCCTCACCACCCTCAG